TGAGCGAACTTCGAGCGGAGGGCCTTCCGGCAGCGAGCGAAATAGCTAGGGGAAGTGTGGAGACTTGTTCCTCTGTCAGAGTACGCGCTGGAGCTCCTAGGAGAAGCGCGGATCCCCCGGGACGGCGGTGGAGACGCTGTCGCACAAGGCAGGGAGGCAACTGAGTATATATACAAGGATACGAGGGGAAATACACATACCTGTCGCACAAGGCAGGGAGGCAACTGAGAGAACAAGTCTGGGTTGCTCCCTGGTGCGACAGGCGACTATATAGTAGATGAGTAATCCATCAACGCAACGAAAGATGGTCCAATGAGAGAAGGGGAGGGTCCTCGGGCGCCCGACACGTGACCGGTGGACCGGCCTAGGAAGGCCGCGCGAGTGCGGAGGCCCTAGGAGCGCCGAGCGACGGAACAAAATAGGGGAGATGCCAAAAGGAGGGCGCGGGAAGCCTAGGAGGGCGCGGGAGAGCGCGACCGAATAGGGAGATGGAAGTATTAGGGGAAATGAACGAAATGGGACAGAAGCGGAAGCAGAAAAAGAGAACAATGAGACATGAGGCGAGTGTGGGAGCCGTGCCCTGACAACCACCAGTTTGCGGAGGTCGCGCTGTTCACAGGTTTCGAGTGGGACCTTCGATCCCGCATGGTCGCCCTGGGCAAAGGGAAGCAGGCCAAGTACGTTCGCGCTATCCAGGAGTGGAACGCGCAGCGAACGCACACGCTGGACGACACGCAGAAGCTCTTCGGTAAGCTCCTGCACGCATCCCCGGTGGTCCCTGAAGGAAGAGCTTACCTCACCGAGCTGGAAACCATGCTTGGTGTCTTCGGTGATCGTCCTTTCCAGCCGCATACCCCTCCCAAGGGCACAATGGCCGCTCTCGAGTGGTGGATGGTCACCTTACAGCGAGCCGAACTCAGGCGGCCCATTCCCGGGCCCGTCGAGCTGTTCGACTCCGGAGGCTACTCCGATGCGAGCTCCGGAGTGGGCATCGGAGTGGTGGTCAGGGGCCGTTGGAGGGCTTGGAGGCTCCTCCCAGGCTGGGACGCAGGCGGCAGGGAGATCGGATGGGCCGAAGCCGTCGGCTTCGAGCTACTCATCCGGATCATCAACATCTTACACGACGCGGAGGCCAAGCACATCAAGGTTTACGGAGACAACCGAGGCGTCGTCGAAGGTTGGTGGAACGGGCGAAGCCGTAACCGCCATGTCAACGGAGTCTTCAAGCGCATACACACTGAGGCCATCGCGGCAGGGCATACATTTCACACAAGATATGTCACCAGTGCCAGCAACCCCGCCGACGCGCCCTCGCGAGGAGTCTACCCACCGCGAAGCTTGCTACTCCCTCCCGTACCCCTACCCGAGGCCCTCGCGGGACTCCTCATCGACAGCCTGGAGCCACTCACCCAAAGCGAGCACAAGGCCAGAAGTGAGGGCCGAGCGCACGAACCTCGGCCGAAAGAGCAGAGCGGCGGCGAAGCCTTACGAAACTTGATTGCGCAGGCCGACCTCGAACAGCGCAACGAGCAATTCGCTCGCGCCAACTTCGGCGAGTGGTAGGCGCAAAGCGGGAGCGGCGCTCCCGCAAGTTAACCGTTGTCCCGCGTGCCCGGCCGGCCAGCGGCTTTTGCTATGGACACCCGCGGGAGGTCGAACGACCTTCGGACCCGATGGGCAGCCGTCGGGATTGGACCAGCGCGACCTCGACCGGGTGTGCGAAGTGATGGCTCAAGCGCTAGCCCCGTCAACCGCAGAGACGTACGGCGCAGGGCTAGTCGCATTTCATGCTTTCTGCGACGAGCGCCGGATAGCCGAAGAGCAGCGGACGCCCGCGTCTGCGACACTAATGCTCGCCTTTCTCGCAGCGTTGGCCGGCCTATACGCGGGATCCACGGTCGCGAATTACTTCTACGGCGTACGGGCTTGGCACCTCATTCACGGCGTCACCTGGAACATGGACGACGCGGCCATGCAGTCCATTCTGAAGGCGACAGTCAAGCTCATGCCGGCTGCCTCGAAACGCAAGAAACGAGAGCCATATACCGAGGACATCATTCGCGCGATAGGACATCATTCGCGCGATACGGCAACAGCTCGCCCTCGACCAGGGTTTCGACGCTGCGGTCTATGCCTGTCTTACGGTTGCATTCTACGCCTGCGCACGGGTCAGCGAGCTCACCGTGCGCAACCGCAGCAGTTTCGAACCCGGTATCCACGCCAAGCACACTGACCTTGGGCTTGCTGAGGATCGGAATGGGCTGTGGCAGCAGACTTTACAGCTGCCGCGAACCAAGTGCGCCATCGGCGGGGAGCAAATCCACTGGGGGCAGCAGGATGGGATCACGGACCCTGTTGCCGCCCTCGCGAATCACCTCCGCATCAACAGCGTGGGTGACGACGAACACATATTCGCGTACACGGCACGAAACGGGGAAGTATGGCCGCTGACACGCAAGGCCTTTCTTGACCGCATCCGGGCCGCCACCAGAGCTGCGGGTAGAGCGCCGCTCCAAGGGCACGGCATTCGAATCGGCGGGACCCTCGAATACCTGTTGAGAGGCGTCCCGTTCGAGGTCGTCAAGACCAAGGGGCGTTGGGGAAGCGAAGCCTTCCTGGGGTACCTCCGGAAGCACGCGGAAATCCTCGCCCCCTACATGCAGGCGCGGCCACAGCTGCAAGCGGAGTTCATCCGGTACGCCATGCCTCCGGTCCGTTGACGGTGAGCACCGCTCCTATCCGGCGGGGTTCGCCTGCGCGACGTGTCGCGTTGCTCCTACCACGTTGGGTATCGCGGCTCACACACCCCGCACAGATTCCCGGACCAGAACGCCCCCTTCGGGGGCATTCACCCATTTCTCACCAACTTACAAACAATCTAATCAGTCTAGTACCACGCGGTTCTAGCTTAATTGTATATGTCAATTTAAGTTCTCTGTTCTCTGACCCTGGGAAACACGCAACAACAAGACGGAATAGATCGCGGTTCTGAGCTGAAGTGAGGAACGAACGTAAGCGCAAGAACTTAGTCTATGCGCGCGCGGGCGTTGCGGTGGCGGTGCAAGTTCTTCCTCGCCATCCGCACCGTCCGCTACCGAGTCCAGCATACGGCGAGCTCGCAAAGGGCCGCCGTAACTCGAATTTGCCACCCGCCCACCCAGCTTCAGCGCGATGCACTGTGCACAACAGCTCAGCCAGCGCAGACAGCGATCGCCAAGCAACTCACAGGGTCACGTGTGACGATAGCACGGACACGCGTGGCAGAACAAGGAGCAGCCGGAACAGGAAACCGGAAGCCGCAAGTAGCGGCATATCAAGCGCCAATAATAGGTGAGGCCGGGAAGGTCCGAGCACGTGCAGATGGCCCCAGTCAGCTTCGAGCCGGGGGAGGGGTGCACGGCGGAGGAGGCTGCCGCCGCCGGGGCGGCATCAGGAAGA